TGATCGGCTAGTCCTCACAACAACCACAAAATGGTCTTTTGTTTTTGTTTCTTGAGGATGAGGAGACTGAACTTCAATCAGTGCACATAGAGTGCATCTGATTAACTCCAAAGCTCTTGTTCCTTCCACTCCAACCCACAGCATCCCACATTCTGGGGAAGAACACTTGGTCTACAAAGTTTCCCACCATACGAAATGATCAGTAGTGAGTGTTGACTAGGCATGTGTACTCAGAGTTAGAAAATGATAGGACCATGAGTCCTTCAATCAGCTTGAATATCTATCTTCCTTTGCAGTGGGGAGTATGTAGCTTACCCATTTGGAAATCAATCCAGAATCTTTATATCCACTGGCCACTCCTCCATATTTATTACCTTAGCTATTTTAGAAGAAATCTTGATCTGAACCTGCACGTCATCACTTTCCAGCCCTTCCTGCAAACCCTGCAGTCTTTCCACTTCCAGGCGAATGCCTAAAATCAACAAAGGGAGAAATGTTTAAGCATTCAAAGACCTGATAGGGGTTGACGAGGCTGGCTACATTTTGATATGACTCTAAATTAGCTGCTGTCTGATGAGATGGTGAACATAAGCGCTAACACATACTGAGGGGTTTCTACATGCTGGGCACCATGCAAACACTCTGCATACAATGATCTCATTTATTACTTATAAGCATTATCTGAGGTAGACTCTCCTGTTCCCTTCTTGGTTTTGCAGATGAGAAGGTGGGAACAGAGATGTGAAGACATGGCCCAAGGCACATGGTGAATAAAAATAGGAGAGTCTGAATTTGAACCCTGGTCTGTCTGACACAAATGCCCAGGCTCCAACTACTCTGCTATGCTGCTATCTCTCTTGGATTTCTGTTCTTCAGTGAGCTCCCTCTTTGGGGAAACTGAAAAGTAACTATTGTAAGGAGAAGTTTACATCAGCAACTGCGTAAGTGATTGTTGATATCAACTTGTAAATGCAGGCCTAACCAATAAAGATTTTCTGTTTGTTATTTGAATGTATATTAATCATGGAAACTAACACATGAACCATTCTACGGAAGGCAGCCTAGCCCAGTGCAATACACGTGGACTTTGAAGTCAGATGCGCCTGAGCTCAAAACCCAGCTACTCTACTTTCAGTGGTCCAAGTAACTGGAAACTTCTTAATTTCAGATTCTCCCCTTTCAAAACTAAGTGAGAAATGTCCATGAGTATCGATGGGTATTTAATTTAGCATCACACTTGTTACTTGTGTCTAGTAGGTATTTTAGTAGTACATGTTCTTTCTCTCCACCATGCTTGTTTGGTCCATCAGGGAAAATGTCAACGTAAATTACAAAGTATGGGAGTTTTATTAACAAAGAATGTTTGAGGACCTGAATGTTTCATATTTTAGGAAAATGAAGTAGGCTAAAGGAAAAATAGGTAGAACAATAATAGAATCCAAATTCCTTTCTTCCTATGAGTTCCCTACTGGCATATTTCTGTTATTACTGTAATGGTTTTTGTTTTGTTTTGTTTTGGTTTTTTGAGACAGTCTCCCAGGCTGGAGTGCACAGGTATGATCTTGGCTCACTGCAACCTCTGCTTTCCCGGTTCAAGTGATTCTCTTGCCTCAGCCTCCCGAGTAGCTGGGATTACAGGCATCCACCACCACTTCTGGCTAATTTTTTGTATTTTTGGTAGATGATGGGGTTTCACCATGTTGGCCAGGCTGGTCTTGCACTCCTGACCTCAAGTGACCCACAGACTTTGGGCTCCCAAAGTGCTGGGATTACAGGGTGAACCACCACGCCCAGCCTGGAATGGTTCTTTAGTTCTCACTTCCTTAATTCTGCTTTTTTCCTGACTTGGTAAAAACATATATCCTTAATTATCTTCCTATATCCCAAAGGACTTTCATACCTACTTTGACTCTGCTGAAGAGTTTTTTCTTTTCTTTTGACTATCTCTCTCCCCCTAACCAAATCCTATCTTTTGGCTTTAACATACTTATAAAATGTGAATATTGGAACTGTAATATCTCTGTGTCCCCAGCATTAGAACAGTGCCTGACACATGGAAAGGCACTCAACAAATATTTTGAATACCTAAAAGAATGATGTGTGGAACACAGGCAGGCATGAGATGGCATTAAGTCTAGACTGTTTCTGGCTGCGCCTGCTCTGCAGAACTGCACACACACAATGTAGAGCTGTCCTTGATGAAACATGGACTCAATTAACCTGGACAGGAAGCCCTGATTGTTGGTTTCAGCCTGAGACGGAGGTTTAAAAATTCCTAATATCTGTGGTATTGACAGTTATTCACATGTACTTGGAGAGCAGGAGGGGCTCCTGCTCTGAAAATTTCCACAATGTTCTGTCTCTTGGAGAGCTTTGAAAGGCACTTAGTACCATGATAATACTGCAATTTTCTCCTGAAGAAAACCATGTGATAGAGGAAGCATTGCTAATATGCCCAATTGCTTAGTGATTTAAATCGGAGACTCTCAAAACATTTTACCTACTTTAATGGATCTTTATAATGCTTTGGTGTTATTATCTCTATTTTAAAAAATGGGAAAACAGAGCCACTGAGGAAAGAAATACTTGTTTCAGATCTAGGAGTCAGATTCTGTGATATAATTAAGGTATTAAAACAGAAATTGCTGAACTGGAGAGGGAAGGAGAAACAGAGAGAGAGAGAGACAGAGAGACAGAGAGAGACCGAGAGAGAGATGGGGAGGGGAGAGGAGAGGAGAAAAGGAGGAAAATGAGGAAAGAAGAGAGAGGAGAGGGGAGAAAGGAGAGAGACATAGGTGCATAGGAGAAAAGCTGAGAATAAAAGAAGATGGATTTCTTTTCTTCATTTGTGGGCTCCCCACCTTTCCCTCACCTTTTATATAGAATAGACCAATAGTTGAGCTAGCAGCCGCCTGACGGATGGTGGGCAGGGTATCACAGGAGTGAGGAGCCAGGAGTCCAAGCAGTGAACCAATTTTAAAGTTCTCTGGTGCCTGCAGGATAAAGGAGGCACCCTGTTGTGATGAGGTAGCTTGGTCATATCCCAGGATATTCCCAACACTGGATCTCAAGTCTCTTATTTTCTCTCTGCAGGTCCTTGGAATGAAATCTGATCTTGCACTTTCTCCTAAAAGATGCCTATTTTTAAGGGCAGTGGAAAAGTAAGCATGCATGTAAAGACAACCCAATAGCTCAATTTGTATGTGTGAGCTGCATTCTGAAGTTAGAGCTCTCTCCAAAAATACTTCAAAAAGCACTTTGCTCTGAGATGCAAGATCCACCATGCAGGAGTTTTGGATTCCAGACGTCTCAGAGATCCCTGCTGTTCACAAGCAATAAAGTCTATTCATTCCAGGGGATTACTTACCACAATGTCATTTGTCAGCACTTTCGCGGTGATCTGGAAGGCTCTTTCTCTTTCCCACTCTTTTTGTGAAACAAGCCACATTCGGAGAAGCTGTTGGTCAAAGAATAAATGTTCTTTCTTTAGTATTCTTCATATTCATCTAGTTTCATATTCTCTCTTTCTGTCTCTGCCTCTTCTGTAACAGGGTGCTCGCCTCCCCACAAACAATTTTTAAGTAGATGGCTGTATGTGGGGTGTGGGTGGGTCCAGCTGGATGTCTTCATGTGAGGAAAATGCAGTAGAGTTTGGAGTGAACGTTGAAGAACAGGTTAGGGAGAATGAGAATCAGTTTGAGTAGAGGCTCTACTCACATTAAACATTTCCTGACAGTCCTCTGCATTCACATTATCCCACATCATGGTCTTCAGAAGTTTTCCTAGGGCATCCATGGATCGTTCATAGAGAAACTGAAATCAAATACATGTGTGTAAGTCTCAGGCGGGGGTGAGACAGTAAGGTCCCACTGCAGATTTTCATTCTGCTTAGGCCTCACTAGTGCATACTTGAATGTGCTCCTTGTCCTTGTCTGTCTGGCCTTCACTTTTCAGATTTTCCAGAGGTGGAAGGGGCAGCAGCCTCCGAGTATTCTCTTCAAGAATGTTAAGGTGATCTTGTAGTGACAGCTGAGGTTTCAGTTTACTGAAATGAGAACCAGGTGGAGGAATGGATATTACAACGACCAACAGAACATACCCAGTGGAGTTCCCAAGAACTGCCAATCACGTCTGACCACGTGACTAATGTGTCACATTTTCTGACATGTTGGGATGTTGAGAGAGGTGGTAACAGGAGTAGGGAGAGATGGGAACGTAGAATCAGACTGCATTGGTGAGCATAGTCAATACGCCTCCATTCTTTAGAACAAATCACCACTCACTTTGTGTTCCTTAACACTTTATTATATGATCTGTGACCGCTTTAACCCACTTGTTTTCTCTGTCTTGTGTGTGTGTACGAGAGAGAGTGTGAGAAAGAGAGAGAGACAATGACAGAGAGATATACATGTATCTCCTCAACTAGATTGTAGGTCTGCAGCAGTGACTTTTATCAATTTTATGTGTCTTTTCATGTTCTAAATAGTGCCACATATACTATAGGTTCTTATGAATGCACAAGTGAACAAATGACACTGGAGTGTTTCTTCCTTTCTGCCTTTCTTTCAAATGTTTACTATAGACTTCATGAGGATATGAAAATGTCTAGACATGACTTGGGAAAATGCACATGTTCAATAAGCCTGAAAAACCCCATTTACTTTTAAATAAATGTAAGTTAAGACAATAAGATACCATTAGTCAGCTACCAAATTAGCAAAGCAATTAAAAATGATGACACCATCAGGGAAATAAGGTTCTCTTAGAGAGGAATAAAATTCAGTACCAGCTGGGAAAGCTCTATGTAGTATTCTGATCTTTATAGTCTGGCTCACTGCTAATCAATGTATCAAAGTATAATTTATGTATAGTAAGCTGCATCCATTAAAACAATTTTGAGAGATATTCATACTTACGAAAACACTGACGGTTAGATAACCAATATAGAATATTTCTATCATACTTTATTTTTTTTCTATTCCCCTTTGCAGGTTATCTTTTCCTCCCCCTTGACAACCACTGATTTGCTTGCTGTCATTAGAGATTAGTTTTCAAGTTCTACAGCTGTGCAGTCTCTAGCCACATGTGCTGGTGAACATGAGTTGTGGGCTGATCCGGATTAAGATGCAATGTAAGTGTAACACATGGGATTTTGAAGATTTAGTATGAAGAATAATATAAATTATCCAATTTTAAAATACTGAATATATGTTGAAATAATATAATAAATATATTGGATCAAATAAAATATACCATTAAAATTAATTTAATCATTTCTTTTCACTGTTTTAAAAGTGGTTACCAGACAGTTTTAAATGACATATGTGACTTGCATTGTATTTCTACTTGACAACACTCTTCCAGAGCCTGGTTAATTCTTAATTCATCTTCAAGATTGATTTATTTGAGATTTCTACAAACCTCTCTCATTTTGTTAACATGGCAACCTGTACTTTCTCTTATCTTGCCTCTTACCACATTTGGAGAAATTACGTGGGTGCTTCTTACATCTGTTTCCCCCAGTAGGCTGAAACTCTGTCAGGGGAGGGTCATATCTTGTTCATCATCACTCTTTTGCAACCGAGTTCACTGACTGATATGACATAGATGCCACTTAATAATATTTATTGAATAAAACTATCAACTATTATACTTAAAAGTTCAGAAAATAATTTTTTGCACAAAGGTGTTCATCAAAGTATTATTTATAGTTTTTAAAATAGGCAACAATTATATATAGCAATAGGAGGTTGGTTCAGTAAGATGAGACATATTTATACAAAACACTAGGCAGCCATTAAAGATATATTTGTTACCTCAACGTAATCAACACCATATGTTAAAAACTTATAACTGGCCGGGCGCGGTGGCTCAAGCCTGTAATCCCAGCACTTTGGGAGGCCGAGACGGGCGGATCACGAGGTCAGGAGATCGAGACCATCCTGGCTAACAGGGTGAAACCCCGTCTCTACTAAAAAATACAAAAAACTAGCCGGGCGCGGTGGCGGGCGCCTGTAGTCCCAGCTACTCAGGAGGCTGAGGCAGGAGAATGGCGTGAACCCGGGAGGCGGAGCTTGCAGTGAGCTGAGATCCGGCCACTGCACTCCAGCCTGGGCGGCAGAGCGAGACTCCGTCTCAAAAAAAAAAAAAAAAAAAAAAAAAAACTTATAACTAACATTATACTTAATGGTGAAAGGCTGAAAACATCCCCTGTAAGATCAAAAATAAGGCAAGGGTACCATTTTTACAAGTTCTATTTAGCATAGTACTGGAAGTCCTAGTCAGAGCAATTAGGCAAGGAAAAATTAAAAAGGCATCTAAATTAGAAAATTAGAAGTAAAACTATCTCTGTTTAGAGATGACATAGTCTTATATGTAGGAACCCTAATGACTCTACCAAAAAACTGTGAGAACTAATAAATGAATTCAGCAAAGTTGCGAGATACAAAATCAACCTACAAAAATCTGTTGCATTTCTACGTACAACTGATTTGTTAAGAAATGAACAAACTGAAAAGGAAATGAACAATTCCATTTACAGCAGCATCAAAAAGAATAAAGTACTTAGGAATAAACTTAACCAAGTGAAACACAGAAACCCACTAAACATTGTTGAAAGAAATGAAAGAAGGCACAAATAATGGAAAGGCATCCTGTGTTCATGAATTAAACAATAATGTAAAGATGATGAGATCTTAATATTGTTAAGATTAGATCTACAGAGTTAATGTAATTCCTATTAAAATACCAAAGGTGCTTTTTGTAGAAATAGAAAAATTCATCCTAAAATTCATATGAAATCTCTAGAGACCCTAAATAGCCAAAACAATTTTGAAGAAGACCAAAGTTGGAGGTCTTATATTTACTGATTTCAAAACTTCTTACAAAAGCACAGTAATCAAAATAGTATGTAACTGGCATAAAGTTAGACATGTAGGCCAGGTGTGGTGGTAGGAATCTGTACTCCCAGCATTTTGGGAGGCTGAGGTGGGCTGACAGCTTGAGCCCAGGAGTTCGAGACCAGCCTAGACAACATGGCAAAACTATGTCTCTACAAAAATAGAAAAATGAGCTGGGTGTGGTGGTGCTCACCTGTGGTCCCAGATACTTGGGAGGCTGAGGAGGGAGAATCACTTGAGCCCAGGAGGTCAAGGGTGCAGTAAGCCGAGACTGTGCCACTGCACTCCAGCCTGGGTGACAGAGTAAGACTCCGTCTCAAAAAACAAAAACAAAAAAAGAGACATATGAATCCATGGAATAGAATAAAGAGCTCATAAGTAAACCATTAAATGAACTACGACAAGGGTACCAAGACCATTCCATGGGGAAAGGACAATTTTTTAAAAAACAAATTTTATTGAGTATATTTAAGGTTTACAACATGATGTTATAAGATATACATAGGAAAAGATTATCATAGTGAAACAAATTAACATAGCCATCATCTCACATAGTTATCCATTTCTCTTCTACCCGCTCCCACCTCTGCCCCATGGCAAGACCAAAAGTAGGAGCAGCTATAATCTACTCACTTAGCAAAATCCTTAATACAATACACTATTATTCAATATAGTCCTAGGTTGTACATTATTAGATCTTTAGACTGGTTCATCAGACTTCCTTGATACTTTATATCTTTTGACTTACATTTTCCATTTCCTACCCACCACTAGAATAAAACAGTAGCCACTGTTTTTTATTCTCCATTTCTGTATATCTGACATTTAAAAAAATTCCACATACAAGTGAGATTATACAATTTTTTTTTCTGTGTCTGGCTTATTTTACATAGTATAATGTTGTACAGGTCCACTCATGTTGTAATAAATGGCAGGATCTCCTTTTTAAAGGCTGAGTAATATTCCATTATGGGCATAAATATCACAATGTCTTTATCCATTCATTCATTGACAGACACCGAGGTTGTTTCTACATCTGAGCTATTGTTAATAATGCTACAATAAATATGGAAGTACAGATAACTTAAAATTTTTTTAATTTAAAAAGCTATACGGGGACAAGTGGTTTTTGGTTACATGGATGAGCTGTATAGTAGTGAAGTCTGAGATTTTAGTGAATTTGTTACCCAAAGGGTGTACACTGTACCCCAATAGGTAATTTTTCATCTCTCAGGGAGTGCAGATATCTTTATGAGGTGGTAATTTCATTTCCTTTGAGTATATACACAGAAGAGAAATTGCTGGGTCACATAGTAATTCTATTTTTAATTTCTTTTGGACCCTCCATCCTGTTTTCCATAATGGATGCACCAATTTATATTCCCACCAACAGTGTGCAAGGGTTTCCCTTTCTCTATATTCTTGCTAACATGTGTTAGGGTTTCTTTTTGATAACAGCTATCTTAGCAGTATGAGGTAATATATCAGAGCAGTTTTGATTTGTATTTCCATAATTATGAGTGATATTGAGTATTTTTCATTTGCCTTTTAGCTATTTGCATGTTTTCTTTTGAGAAATGTCTACTCTGGTCCTTCGTCCATTTTTAAATCAGGTTATATATTTTCTTGCTATTGAGTTGTATGAGTTCTTTTTAATTTTGGATATTAACTCCTAATCAGATACATGGTTTGCAAATATTTTTTTCCAATCCATAGGTTGCCTTTTCATTTTGTTGACTATTCCCTTTGTGCTGCAGAAACTTTATAGTTTGATGTAGTGGTATTTATTTGTTTTTCCTTTTGTAGGCCAAGCTTTTGATGTGAGGACAATCTTTATAAGAAACGTCGTTGGAAAAACTGAATATTCACATGCAAAAGAGTTAAGTTGGACCCTTATGTTACACCATATGCTAAAATAAACTCACAATGGATCAAAGATCTAAATGTAAGAGCTAAAGCTATGAAATTCTAAGAAGAAAACATAGGGAAAAGCTTCATGATCTCGAATTTGACAGTGATTTCTTGAAACACAGGCAAGAAAAGGAAAAATAGACAAATGGACTACTTAAAAATTATAAACTTCTGTGCATTTGGGGAATACAAAAGAGGGAGTGAGAGTGGGGAGCAAGGGTGAAAAAAGCTACTTATTGGGTACTATGCTCACTACTTGGGTGACAGATTCATTTGTACCCCAAGTCTTAGCATCATGCAATACAGAAACTTGCACATGTACTCCCAAATATAAAATAAAGGTTGAAAAAACAAACTGAAATAAAACTTTTGTGAATCAAAGGATAGAATCAGCAGAGTGAAAAGGCAACTTATTAGATGGGATAAAGTATTTGCAAATCATACATCTGATAAGAGGTTAATGTCCAGAATAAATTTAAAAAATACTATGATTAAACAACAAAACACCAAACAACTTGATTTTAAAAATATGGAAAGGACTCGAGTAGACATTTCTCCATAAAAAAATACAAATAACTAAAAAAACATATGAAATGATGTTCAACATCACTAATCATTAGGATAATGCAAATCAAAACCACAAGAAAATACCACCTCATACCCATTAGAATGGCTATAAAAAACAAAGTTTTGGGTCACAAAAATCAATATACACAAATCAGTAGCTCTACTATATACCAACAATAATCCCTTTTACAACAGCTGAAAAAAAATTAAATACCTAGAAATATAGTTAACCAAGGAAGTGAAAGATCTCTATGAGGAAAACTACAAAACACTGCTAAAAGAAATCATAGATAACACAAACAAATGGAAACACATCCCATACTCAAGGAAGGGAAGAATCAATATTGTGAAAATGCCCATATTGCCCAAAGTAATCTACAAATTCAATGCAATTCTCATTAAAATACGATCATCATTTTTCATAGGACATAGGATAAACAATCCTAAAATTCATATGGAATAAAGAAAGAGCCCACATAGCCAAAGCAATAGTAAGAAAAAAGAACAAATCTGGAGTCATTACATTACCTGACTTTATACAAAACTATAGTTACTGAAACAGCATAGCACTGGTGTAAAAATAGGCACTTAGACTGATGGAACAGAATAGAGAACCCAAAAATAAAGCCAAGTACTTTTAGCCAACGATATGAATGTACTTAACAACACTGAACTGTACACTTAAAAATGACTGATTATAAATTTTATATTTTATTTATTTTGCCACAATTAAACATTAACAAAAACTAAAAACTGAGAAAAGTATGATGTTTGTGAAGAATTGGTGATAATGTGGAAATATGTAAGGTGAAGTTAGAAAAAGCAGGATGAAAAATCATATGCAGAGTAGAATCTCAACTCTGTTATAAAAATGGAGCACTAGAAATAAAGACTTAAAGGAATGTATTAGCACATTTTCACAGTGCTATAAAGAAATATCCAAGACTAGGTAATTTATAAAGGAAAGAGGTTTAATTGACTCACAGTTCCACATGGCTCAGGAAGCCTCAGGAAACCTACAATTGTGGCCTAAGGCAAAGGGAAAGCAGGTACCTCTTCACAATGCAGCAGAAGAGAGTAAGCATGTGAAGGAGGAACTGCCAAACACTTATAAAACTATCAGATCTCATGAAAACTCACTCACTATCATGAGAACAGCATGGGGGAAACCACTCCCACGATCTAATCGCCCCCTTCCCTTCACACGTGGAGACTACAGGTCTCTCCCTCAACATTTGGGGATTACAATTCGAGATGAGATTTGGGTGGGGACACAAAGTCAAACCACATCAAGGAAATAGACCAGAGTGTTAGCAACAGGGGCACGATGGGTGGTTTTTATTATTTCTTAAAACTTTTTTGTGGTTTCCCAATCTTTACAGAGGACTTCTATTTCTTTTTCTTTTTGTTTCTTCATCTTTTATTTTAGGTTCAGAGGGTACATGTGTAGGTTTGTTTTATGGGTAAATTGCATGTCATGAGGATTTGGTGTACAGATTATCTCATCAATAAGCATAGAACTAGATAGATAGTTTTTAAATTCTCACCCTCCTCCCAACCTCCACCCACAACTAGGCCCCAGTGTCTATTATTTCCTTATTTGTTTCCATGTGTACTCAATATTTACCTCCCACTTATAAAATTAGCGGTATTTGGTTTTCCTGCATTAATTTGCTTAGGTTTATGGCTTCCAGCTCCATTCGTGTTACTGCAAAAGACAGATTTAATTCTTTTGTGTGACTGTATAGTATTCTATGGTGTAATGTATCACATTTTCTTTATCCAGTCTACCATGGATGGACATCTAGTTTATTTCAAGTCTTTGCTGCTGTGAATAGTGCTGCAATGAACATATGCATGCATATGTCTTTATGGTAGAGCTATTTATATCCCCTTGGTATATACCAAGGAATGGGATTGCTGGGTTGAATTGTAGCTCTCTTTTGTGAGATATCTAAACTGCTTTCCACAATGGCTGAACTAGTTTACATTCCCAGCTGCAGTGTGTAAGTGTTCCCTTTTCTCCACAACCTTATCAGCATCTTTCTTTGAGTTTTTAGTAATAGCCATTCTGATTGGCATGAGATGCTATCTTATTGTGATTTTAACTTCTATTTATTTTACTGCAGGGTGAAAATATTATTTTTAAATTGTGCCAAAAATTATTTTCTTTTTCAGGATTATTGCTGCTAACCAACTAGAATGTGATTAGGGCTTTCATAAGATTTTAATTGAAAGTTTAAAATTTGCTTGGAGGCCAAGATCTAGAAAGAGGAATTTCCTTTTGCAGAGAAATTTTAGTCCATATATCAATACATGTAATTCATCTGAGTAGCTCTTCAGTCTCTGTCAGTCATCAAATGACCAATCTCTCAGCCAGATCTGTAACTCTCTGGAAGGAGAAAAAGCCCCAATTTGAAGCTCTTATTAATGAACTATGTTCAGTTTTTGGAGTGTGTACCGAAGTCTGCACTAATAGATGTTAGTTGATCAAGAGGAGGATAAGTGGGAAAATACTTTTTCAATGAAAACAACAAACAATTATCTACCTGAGATATCTAATGGCGATTAAGGCTTTCCACCGAACAGGGCTAGCTAAGGAATCCAGGGGCTCGCCTCTAATGAAGTCCTGCAACACAAATAAGGAGATCAAATGTTTCAGAAAGGCTCAGGAAAGTTTCCAGATGCAGCTGCAATCTCATCGGACCATTGGGTGCCCTGGGTCATAAACAAGGCAGAGATCTGTTATGTGGGACTGGTGAAGTCTATTCACTTTTTAAAAAGATAGCCCTGAAGTCTTGGTAATAGAATACTCAGGACCTTCCTTATTCCCTCTCTGCACACTCACCAGCATGTAACCAATCAGCATCTCCTTGTAGGAAAACTGGAACCCCTGATCCTCAGCATCTTGGATAGCAATGCCAATCTCAGTGATGCTTCTTGTGAAACTCATTTGCAGATCCATGTCCTAAAGCAAAAGCATTCACAACGCAAGTCAAAGTCTAAGACACCACACTCAAGTCTATTAACATGTGACCTAGCTTTGAAATATGTTCCCAGACAGGAGTGAGGATCTTTGCTTCCTTTGCCATCTCTACTCCAGACTAGGGTTTAAGTTGCAGGGAAAGTGAGAAACAAAGGCCATTTTTCCTCCCTACCACCCACAATAGAATGAAAGTTCTCTAGAGCAGTGGCTTTCAAACCTTTTTGACCATAAACAACAGCAGAAAACGTTTACAATTCCACCTAATATCTATATGCCCCAAATATGTTTAATATATAACAGAAATAATAGTTATAGTTTTTATATGTAAAGTACTCTGTTATTTCATTAAAGAATTTTTCTGTTTTTGACCTATTAAACTGATTTCATGGTCAACTGGTGGGTCACAACCCAAAGTTTGAAAAACGTTGCTTTAGTTTATAGCTCAACTTCTAAAGACCCTGGAACCAGAATATAGTCCCTTGTTCTGCCCTGGATTAGGATGATGGATTCTGACTTCAGAACTAGATTTTTACATGTTGGAAATCTTTCAAATGGAATCAAATCAAAAGAACATCTTTGCTTGGCATACTTCAGGGGGGCATTTATCTATCTATCTATCTATCTATCTATCTATCTATCTATCTATCTATCTATCTATCTTATCTATCATCTATATCTCCTACCTTGTTCATCACAGACATGCCAAGAACCTAAAAAAAATAAAGGCAAAATTAGATTCTCAATGAGTAGCAGTCAGGTATACACTCAACCCAACAAAATGACCCACCCATCAACCTGAAGGAAAATAGTAAAGCAGGAGGTAGAGCCTTGCCAAGGGGGTCTTGCCAAGGGGAGGGAGGCAATTCACTTCTTCCATTTTTAATGTGAGACCTTGTACATTTGCAGAGTCTTTCCCCCAGGTGAATCATGAGTAAGCTGCAGAAGGCAGGTTAGAGACCTCAAGTCTTGGGGTTTTAGCCTTCACAATCATTTAAAGAGGCTCAACAGACTTTGGTAAGGAAGGGTAAAGGCTCTTAAGGAAATGAGAAGTGAAAAATTATAAAATGAAAAGTCAAAGGGCAGCTAACTCTGGAACTGTGAGTACAGTGAGTTCTGCTATAACATTTGTGTTGAAAATGCAGATTTGTTCCAATGAGATTGACATACTGTATCAGAGAATACTTTTAGTACATGCTGAATTCACATTTGCTTGTGTGCAGTTTCCTCAGTGAGAGGAAAGGTGCACAGGTGAACCGAGCCACGTAGGAATACTCAAAGCATACACATGCACACACCCCATGAATGTACCAGCTACCTCAGTTTACTGTGTGTTATGAGTCTTTCCCATCCAAATCTGGTATTACAACAATCCATTAGACTTCAGATAACTCTCCTTCCTTTTACCATTTCATAGGAAGTTCCAACCTTCATAACTGACTTCAGGTGTTTCAAGGTAAAATGCTATTTTTTAGGTAGCATTTCTGTATTTTTAATTTTTTGTAAAAAGATTCCTATTCACTGGCAAAATGATTGCACACACAGGAAACTCGAAAAACTCCACCAAAAGACTGCTGGAGCTGATTAATGATTTCAGTAAGGTTTCAGGATACAAAGTCAATGTATAAAAATCAGTAGCATTTTCATACACCAAAAATGTCCAGGCTGAGAGTCAAATCAAGAACACAACCCCACTTAAGACAATAGCCAGACACAAACACACAAATGCTCAGGAATGTGTGCATTCTGAGATGAAAGATCTCTGTAAGGAGAAATACAAAACACTGCTGAAAGAAATCAGAGATGACACAAATAAATGAAAAAACATTCCATGCTCACAGATAGGAAGAATCAATATTGTTAGAATGATCATACTGCCCAAAGCAATTTACAGATTCATTGGTATTCCTATCAAATTACCAATGTCACTCTTCACAGAATTAGAAAAAAACTATTGTAAAATTCATATGGAACAACAAAAAAAGCCTGAATAGCCAAAGCAATACTAAGATGGAAGTATCATACTACCTGACTTCAAACTATACTATAAGGCTATAGTAATCAAAACAGCATGGTGCTGGCACAAAAACAGACACATAAACCAATAGAACAGAATAGAAAACTCAGAAATAAAGCCATACACCATATGATCTTTGACAAAGTTGACAACAACAACAAAAAAGCAATAGGAAAAGGACTCTCTATTCTATAAATAATGTTGGATAACTGGCTAACCATATGCAGATAAGTGAAACTAGACCCTTATCTTTCACTATGTATCAAAATTAACTCAAGATAGATTAAATATTTAATTGACAAGTGGGATCTAATTAAACTAAAGAGCTTCTGCACAACAAAAGAAAATATCAACAGAGTAAACAGACAACCTACAGAATGGGAGAAAATATCCTCAAACTATGCATCTGACAAAGGTCTACTATCCAGAATCTATAAGGAACTTCAACAAATCAACACGCAAAGAACAAACAACCCCAATAAAAAGTGGACAAAGGGCATGAACAGACACTTCTCAAAAGAGGACATATAAGTGGTCAACAAACATGAAAAAATGCTCATCATCACTAACCATCACAGATATGCAAATCAAACCCACAATGAAATACTGTCTTATAGTGGTTAGAATGGCTATTACAAAAAAAGTAAAAACAAACAAACAAACAAACAAAACAGAAGCTGGTGAGGCTGGGGGGAAAAGGGAATGTTTATACACTGTTGACAGGAATGTAAATTAGTTCAGTCACTGTGGAAAGCGGATTGGAGATTTCTCAAATAACTTAAAACAGAGCTACCATTCTATCCAGTGATTCCATTACTGGTAATGTACTTAAAAAATAGATCATTTTACCAAAAAGACACATGCACTCGTATGTTCATTGCTGCATTATTCACAATAGCAAAGACATGGAATCAACCATGGAGGACTGGATTAAAAATGTGGGATACACACACACACACACACACACACACACACACACACCCCCCATATTTATATAGTTTGGCTGTATCCCCACCCAAATCTCATCTTGAATTCCCATATGTTATGGAAGGGACTTGGTGGGAGGTAACTGAATCATGGGAGCAGGTCTTTCCTATGCTGTTCTCATGATAGTGAATAAGTCTCATGAGATCTGATGATTATATAAGTGGGGAGTTTCCCTGCACAAGCTCTCTTCTCTTGTCTGCTGCCACATGAGACGTGCCTTTCACCTTCTGCTGTGATTGTGAGGCATCCCCAGCCACATGGAACTGTAAGTCCATTAAACATTGTTTTCTTCCAAGTCTCAGGTATGTGTTTATCAGCATAGTGAAAATGGACTAATACAGTACATATACCATGGATTACTATTCAGCCATAAAAAATAATAATATCAAGTCTTTTGCAGCAACATGGATGGAGCTGGAGGCCATAATACTAAAAATTAATGCAGGGACAGAAAACAAAATAAGTGTGAGCTAAATATTGAGCACATAATCATGGGAACAAGACACTGTGGACTATTAGAGGAGGACAAGGGTAAAAAAAACTAACTGTGGGGTACTATGCTCACTACCTGGATGCAATATACCCATGCAACACACCTGCACGTGTACCTCCTGTATCTAAAAGTTGAAAAAAAAATTCAATGGGAAATAATTTTGTTCAGATCTATGAAAAGAAATAATCTGTCCAGGAGGGGCTTCTACACTAAAAAGAGTGTGTCACTGATAGAGTTTTTTGAGTGTTATGCCTCAACCTCATTTCCTCCTTATGTTTTTACCTATATTATCTTGTATATATGTTGTGTTATAGCAGAACGGACTGTACCCTGAAAGTGTATAGTAATGTTTATCTTAATCATTCTTATTTTCTTTCCTCTTTTATTTATTTATTTTTAGAGATAAGGTATTGCTCTGTCACCCAGGCTAGAGTGCACTGGGACTAATGGTATGTACCACCCCACCTGGGTAATTGTTTTATTTATTTATTCTTACAGATGAGGTCTTGATACTTTTTCCTGGCTGATTTCAACCCCTTGGCCTCAAGTGGTCCTCCAACTTTATCCTCACAAAGGACTGAGATTACAGGCTTAAAAAATAATTTCTTGTAGAGATGAAGCCTCACTCTGTTGCTCAGACTGGTCTCTAACTCCTGGCCTCAAGTGATCTTCCCACCTTGGACTCTCAAAGTGGTTGGATTACAGGCATGAGCCACCTTGCTTGGCTCCTCTCTCTTGTATTTTCCTCATAATGTTCCTCAATGACTGACTATAAATTAATGTAACATAAAACATATTTTATTATGTTTTCTATTTTCATCATTGCTTATCAGATTTTGGGGGCATCAGAATTGACTCTTGAGGAGCATGTTGAAAATACAAATTCAGTGATTCAACTCTGAAGACTGGGATTCATTAGGCATCTCTATTTTTGACAGGCTCTCCAGGCAATTCTTATGCAACTAAGGTGTGAGGAAGACTGCCCTATACCCTTCCACTAGCATATACTGATGACTACAATTTCATGAGTCCTTATGAGTCTATTCTTATCACATGTACATATGAATAAATTTGAAGAGCACTTATGCATCAACATGTGGTTTGTGGAGACACAGACCAGAAGCTAAAGGAGTCAGCAAGGTGCTGACAATCTAACAGGAGAAGCAGATGTGCATATAATCAATGAAAGCCTCCTACATCGATCTATAAATAATCACTTGAACCTTTTAAGCATATAGATTTCCAGAGTTTTCCCAAGACTTACTGAAGTAACTTCTCTAGGAAACAACTCTAGGAAGCTATATTTTAAACTTGATTCTTATGTGATTCTTAGGTGGCCAGCCTGGTATCTGTCAGCAAAATGGATGAATTCACAACATGTATAAAGCAATTTATTAAAGATACAAATAAAATGCTATGGAAGACAGAATGATCAGATAAATTTCAACCTGGTTTGGTGGCTCTGAAGGTAGAACATTCTTCGTATGTTTGAGAAGCATCAAGGAGGGTCAGGGTGGCTGGGATGAATGTGGAGAGGAAGACAGTGCAACATAGGTGAACTGAAAACCCTGATGAATGACCTATTTTATTCACTTAAAGTATGTATACGACACTTACTATTTGTGAGACACTGTTCAAGGTAATTTGCAAGTCTTATCACATAAAAAGTTAAAGAACTACCATGGGCTAACACTTCTGATACTATTACAAGGAAGTAATAAGCCAGGTGCCCTAAAATAGTACAGGAGTAACTGTTTTAAGTTCAAACATGGGTGAGATCACTATGGATATGATTGATCTGGGACAATCACGCATCACAGCAGTGGTAGGACATGAATAGCTCAGGGCCTTAGGAAAGAAAATAGATTACCTGATGCTATTTTAAAATGAATTTTTCTGTTCCCATATGTTCTCATTTCCCAAACATACCAGATCCTATCTATCTTTCTTTTGGCCTGTATCCTTTGAGCCTGAAGGATGCAGCCATCCATGTTGCTGCAAAACATATGTTTTATTCTTTTTTTATGGCTGCATAGTAATCCATGAGACATTTACTGTATTAGCCTGTTTTCACGCTGCTGATAAAAACATACCCAAGACTGGGAAGGAAAAAAGCTTCCCAGGGGCTGAGTCCCTGCAAGTTTTAGGAACCCCAGCCTAGAAATGGAGGCAGTCCTGCAATGGGCATTACCTGAGAGCACTGGCCATGAAGAAACAGGACTTGGGATATGATGTCTTGATTAAGTCTGGAGAGAAGTTGCTTCTTGGGAGCATGGAGGGACACAGCTCCATAGATGACCATGACATCTGTCTTGGTCAGGCTCTTTTTCCCAGAAAAAAGGCTCTGAAGACCAGGAAAGGGAGATGTGAAAAATGTGACTGAAGGAGTTTTATTTTCTCTCATGTTTTTTTCCTAATCCCATGGACCACCATAGGGATAAGAAACTGAACTGGGATGATTCAAATAAATCTAAAATGAATGTATTTTTGCCTGTTTAAATGTAAACACGCAGGATGGTCCTGTGGGACGATCAGGGCTTCAGAGAGATAACTGGGAGAAGCTTTTGTTAATTATTTACTTATCAGGCTCCTTTCCTTCAAGGTAAGCAGAGTATACATGAGAGGAGCTATTCCTGAGGGCTGAGCGGTTGGCAGAGCAGCAAACCTAGGCACATGTAGAGCACATTTAGGATCTTCCAGGTCAGCTTTAGGGTCAGAGAAAATAGACTTTTCATATAGCTGATCATCCTGCAAAGACTAGGCTTAGACAGTTCTGACCTGGAATAAGAACCTGGCGACAGGAGTAAGTGTAATGTAGAGAAAGGATATTCACTGAAGAAATCAGGGTTGTCTGGCCTTGCAATACTGAGAACCTTGAGGAAGGTGATTCTTCTTACCTTACATCGATTCATGAAAAACTTTTCCTGATTTTGAAATGTTTTAAGTGCTTTTAAAACAATATCCAAATGGTTCTCGGCACAGTATCCTAAAATAGATGTTATTCCCTAAAATCAGAGAAGGTATAACATTTTGAGTTTAACCATTTATTTACTCAACAAATACTTACTGAGCACCTATTATGAGCCAGGTACCCTTTTAGGTGCTGAGGGTACAGTAGTTTGCAGAACATACCAAAGTCCCCATCTTTGTGAAGTATACAACCAGGAGAACTGACAGGGAAGTAATAGGCAAGTGAAATAAGTAAACACATCCATTCAGTAAACAGGTCAATATACAGCGTGTGTGCCAGATGGTGATGAGTGCTATGAAGATAAGTAAAGCAGGAATAGGTAATGAGGATTGGGGGAAGTTTGCATTTTTAAAATAGGATAGTCAGAGATGGTCTCATGGACAAGGTGACAATAAGCAGAGCCCTCAAATGAGTGAGGGAGTGAGCCATTAGACTATCTGGAAAGGAGAGTTTCAATCAGAGAGAAGGTAAGTGCAAAGCTCCTGAAGTCCACTGAGAGGGCTGAGTGAGCAGTCAGGGAGGAGAGCAGTGCAAAATGAGTCAGACAGGAGGTGGGAGGTTCGTCACAGTAGGGCCGTTTAGGCTATCCCCAAGATTTTGGACTTGTAATCTATGATTGCTGGGACGCTAATGGAGGTTTTTTCCAGCTTGAATTAACTGATGCTTTTAAAGAATCATTCTGTTCCTGAAACTTTATTGTATCTTAAGAGGTTAAATTTCTGAAAGTTGGCAGCTCTTGTTTCACACTCAGGTTATATATTCCGGCTGTCCCCACTTCTCTTGTCCAAAGCTGATTTCACCAGAGTTCCTTCATGGCAATTTGCTCCTGAAACCTGTTATATGTCATTCAGTTGCATAACCCTGCCAGAGCCATTATGAAAACTCATAGACTAGATCATTCTTGTAGAGTCTAGATAATAATCATTCTAGTATGAAGCTAGAATTGGAGTTCTGGCATCACATGATTGAAAACATTATGCTTAGGAGATTGAAAACCAAGTAGGTTTGGTGGGTTATGAAAGTCACGTGTTAACACTTTATTCATCCAGAGGTCAATTACTAAGCCACTTGAGTATGTAAGACATATTCAAGGACTTAAAATTAAGTCAAAAAGGCATTTGAGAAGCTCAATTGGACGTCATAATTTTTTATTTTTTTATTTTTTGAGACGGAGTCTCACCCTGTCACCCGGGCTGGAGTGCAGTGGCGCAATCTCAGCTCACTGCAACCTCCGCCTCCTGGGTTCATGCGATTCTCTTGCCTCAGCCTCCCGAGTAGCTGGAATTACAGGTGCATACCACCACACCCGGCTAATTTTTTGTATTTTTAGTAGAGACGGGGTTTCACCATGTTGACCAGACTGGTCTCGAACTCCTGACCTCATGATCCGCCTATCTCGGCCTCCCAAAGTGCTGGGATTATAGTCGTAAGCCACTGTGCCCAGTCACAATTTATTTTTTAAGTCTGTGAAACTCTCAGAGCTTGAATGAGAGTCTTATTATATGCTTATATCTAAAATCAAGTTACTTTGTTTCCTAACCTATACCAGAGCTAAGATGGAAAAAAATGATATTGAGATGGTGCCAATAGCAATAAATGATGATAATATCTGACAATAAAAAAGGAAATAATAGTAACATAAAAGCAGTTTCAAAAGTTCAGTGAGGTCTAGTGGTTTCTGGTCATTTAATGTGTGAGAAAGAACCCTAAATATCTCATAATTTCTGAGGAGAAAGTATAACACACTATACTTTTTTTATACTGGTGGTCTTTATCAGCCTGGGAACTATTTTTTGTTGGTTTGTTTGTTTTAAAATATACATCTTCAGTGGGGCGTGGTGGCTCACGCCTGTAATCCCAGCACTTTGGAAGGCCAAGGTGGGTGGATCACCTGAGGTCAGGAGTTCAAGGCCAGCCTGGCCAACATGGCGAAACCCTATATGTTAAAAATATAAAATTAGCCAGGCATGGTGGCAGACGCCTGTAATCCCAGCTACTTGGGAGAATGAGGCAGGAGAATAGCTTGAACCCGGGAGGCAGAGGTTGCAGTGAACCAAGATCCTGCCACTGCACTCCATCCCAGGTGACAGAGTGAGACTCTGTCTCAACAACAAAAACAACAACAACAAAATGCACATCTTCTGCTTCCTCCATATTTACATATGCTCTATAGCCACAGGCTATGGTAGGAAGTAGGTAAAGCTTTGCAGAAACACTTCAGGTTATCTTTACATTCTCTCTAGATTAGTCTATAAGTAGCTTTCAGCTTGTAAATTCAATCATTTTGATGCTCACAATCATGCTGTAAGTCAAGCTAAGGTCAAAATATATCAAATATACTCTCATTAGGTAAGAATTATTGAAATTGATTTTTCAATATTTTCACGAACTTGGCTAAAAATGAAGTATTGATTTTTAAATAGAAAAGCCTAACTTTTCTGAAAAATTCTGTTAGGCTATTCTGAGTGTATTAATTGATAATTCTGATTAAGTAGAACATTATTATAAAAGCTGTCAGATGTTTTGTGGGTAGGATTAGTTGTTATCATCATAAGAGGAAATTGAGAGCAAGGGGTCCCACCTGTCTTTGATCCCCCAGTTGGTTGGGAGCAGT